CAATACGGCTGTAACATTAAACGTCCTACAAAATGATATATTTATACCTAGTTATTACATCGCTACTTTAGTAACCATTAAAAAGTGTTTATTTTAATAGGTATCTAGGCGTAACATCGCCATAACAACACGGGCTTTATTAAGGTCTAGTGCATTTTATTTCAAGTGATGTAAATTTAGGTTAACAAAAGACAGCTTTAGTAAGCTATGGGATGAAGTGATACATGATGATTGATGTGAAAGAAGAGCCTGTGGAGCAACATACAAAAGGGGGGAAAATGGCCAGACTGGATTAATGCATAACATAAGGTTCAGATGTATATTTACACAACAGGTGGTTAAATGACGAATCATGGGGATAATAACGTACATGTATATCAAATACATTTTGGTAAAAAATAGGAACGGTGTGATTATCAAAATGTACCTTAATTTTTGTTCTATAATATCCATCATATTTTCTTCCTTGACAATTCGAAACTATCTTTATTGGAGATATATAATGCTCAAATTTGATACATGTATATAAAAATACTGATAAAATAACATATTATACTAGGAATAATTATTTTATCGAAAGATAGTTCTGCCCACGGATTTAATAAAGGGGAATAAATTTACTGACGCATTAATTAAACGTTTGCAAACCAAAATGCTTCAGAATTGGGCAAGTTTCAACCAAAATGCCCGGATAATTATTGATATTTGAAAACTTTCATTAGGAACATACAAATAAAATATTTTAACGAACAGAAAACATATGAGCCGCCGCCAATGGGACAAAACCCAAACATAATTGGTTTGCGACCAAAGCATAGATCCAAGACCAGCCTGCCGCATCCCGCGCAGTCCTGATTCCAAAGATTCCATGCTGGTCGCTATTCAATTTTCTCTACTTGTTTATAGGCCGGTTCTGTAAGAGAACAAGTATGGATTCTGATTTCAACAACGCGGACATGCCGCCACTCTAGTCTGGATTCAAAGTGCTGGGTCGCAAACTAACAGCTTATGTTGGTTTTGTCGTGACGCGGCTCATATGCTGTCTTTTTTGGTGAACAACTTCAAAACTTATAGATGTGAATAAATGAGTATAAATATCGCCCTCAATTGTCAAATCTCAACAGTTTATATAACTTCGTCAAATCAGAAGCTAGGAAGCTGAAACCTTAAACCGAGTGTGTCATAAACATTGTCTTTAAGGAATTGGCATATTGAAAAATAACATACACACCCACTTACCTGTAGAAAATACGTGCCTGTGTTGTACATATTCATGACTCGGTAGCCATTTTGACACGTTTGCAACCGTTTTTCTCGCTTGAACCAAGTGTGCAACTATTTCACGTCCTGCCATTTGAGTACGGAATGCAGCTTTCTTAACAAGGTTTACACAACATATAATGTTGTAGACTTGAAATGACTAAGTGCGTTTTTAATTATGGATATACCATTGCGTTCTTACAGGTAATGAAGAAAATGCTCTATATACGTAGCTGAAATTCAATAATATTTTATTGCTACATGTATACAATTTAAGAACATTATTTTCACATAACAACAACTTCAGCAAATGAACAACCAGTTTATACCTGAAAAATGTTAAAGACATATTTCTTAATTAATTTGTACAGAAAAATAACAATAAAACGTAAGCTTTATATTTTATAATCAGCATGTACCATTAGGAATTAAATACGTTATACTTGCACATTTACAATAAGTGTATCTAATGTTACGCATCGAAACAGGAAGGTATGGACAAAATAGAATTGAAAGAACTGAAAGACGTTGTGAACTATGTAATTCTTCTGATATTGAAGATGAGTTCCATTTTGTTATTATGTGTTCCAAGTATAAATGGATTAGGAAACGGGTTAACAAATTGACAATTATTAATTAAGAACGAACAACACCACCACCTAGCATGATTTAAATTATTTCTTGAATTAATGTTCAGTCACAAACAATAGATGTTTTAAACAAATTAAGCATGCCTTATCTTAATTGTGCTTTAAAAATCAGAGCATCCAACGAACTGCTATAATTTGATGTTTGTATAACCTCCACTAGTGACATTTGTTAAAAAAAACAACAACATTAAATACGTTTATATTCAGAAATTGCCAGAGTTACTGTGGCGATTTGTAACTGTTTCTGTTTACACATAAAATGTTTATTCAGAAAGTTTATTTATCTCTCTCTGTACTCATGCTGTAATTGATTTGACTTTTGTATGTATATTGTATTGTATTTATATAGAACGAGGAGCGTAGAGCTCAAGTCCATACAATAAAGATTTTGTTACTGTCTGTTCTGTTCCCTGTTTATAAATAATTCTAAAGAAATGTATTACACGAAACCATTAGCAAAATAAGTCGTTTCGTTTGTTAAAACATTCCGAACATATATGTTTTACAGCTACGTTTAACGGAAACACCCTTATAATATGTGTTCAAATACGAACAAAAAAAACTGTACTTATACAAAAACATTATGACCAAATATAGGTGTTCAATGGGACATATGCCTTAATCACCACATAAAAAAGTAGTTCTTAACGCTGCACTGGCTACTGTGTATGTTATGTTTATATGTACTTTGTGTGATATCGAAGCGTTAAGTCTATTTGAATATGTACCCTATAATTTATAACCTCGGATATGCAAATTGAATGCAAGTTTATAAAGGGAACGCACTTAGTACAGTTAATTAACTGACACTGGACGCCTATACAAAGCTTTTTTATCATATAGTTTTTTATAGCGGGTGATTTTAACACCCACGTATTATAATATTTTGTAAACCATACCTTTTTAGATGCATACCAAAGAAATAGCAAAGGTTTTTGTAATTGTGTTTTAGACGTAATTTACATCTAAATATATTTGTATTATATTATTTTGTAATCCACATAAAAAGGATCGAGACATGTTTATTGCATTTGTATTAATCTGCAAAACTTAATGGGAAAGGGTGATGATCATAATGTGTGGTTTTTGTATGGTCGTAGGGTTAAAATCACATTAAAGTATTTAATTATTTGTTGCATTTATATCTATATTTTGCATTAATGTTAATAGGGAAGGGAGGCAAGTTTTTGCCCAAGTTTCTTTTTTAATTTTAAGGTATAATGGTGTCAGTAACGTTTTTAATGGTTGCGTGCTTTATCTAACTAAAATTTAAACTTTATAGCTTAAAAAAATTTTAAACAAATTGGCGACAAGCTAAAAATTTTACTAACTCAAAAGAATTATAATTAAATCTCGATTAAGGAGAATGTTGGTTTTAATAATAAAATTGTTTTTTTTCCAAATTCATGTACCCAAATTATTTACCCCAGGGAATCCCGAAAAGAAAATGAAAAATTTTTAAAAATTTCAAAAAAATGTCTTGTTTTTTTAGCTTTTGATAAAAACCCTTTTTGTTTTTTTTTTATTTCAGGACAAAATTGTAGCTTTAAGAGGGGCCCCCCGTCGGACCCGTTTCTATTGCTGGGATTAGCAGTAAATTTAAAATTTTGGGTTTTTTTGTCATCGGTTTTTAAATTTTTCATTGTGCTTTTAATTTGTGTCAGGTAAGCCATTTCTTTTTTCTTTTTTTTTTTTCTTCAAAAAACGTTTACAAACGGTTAACTTTTTAAAAAATACTGTATTTCAAAATATAAATTGCCTTCAAAAATATGTTTAAACCAATCCGGAAAAGTTCTAAATCTTACGGCATTCTACAGTTGACGAAATTAAAAGTGTCAAAAAACCGCGTTTTATTTTATTTTATTAATAAACAAAATCCATCAATTAAAAAAATTGTTAGCAGTAAAGTAATACCGTTTATATGATTTTAATCAGTGTCAAATTCCAAAAATTCCCCTTTCCCAGTCTGCAAACCTTTTTGCGCTTTTGTCTTATAATCATTATATATTGCGTAGGCGCAAAAGTTTTTATGTTTTTGTTTTACAAAATATATACATATATTTCCCTTTTTTCAAGATTAACTTGCTATTCAGTGCGTGTATATAGATACGTGAAATATTTGACATTTTGCGGATCAAAACTCTCATTTACAAACAGATTATAGTGAGATGATTTCGTGTCTAGCACGAGATTTACACGATGTTACCATTCTAGATCTTGTATATACATGTATATATTTTGCCCAATTTTTTTACTCAATTATTCAGTACATACTTCATAAGTCCACGGATTCATGAATAACTTTTTTTCCTAAAGTTTCCAAAGAAGCAAAGGGGAATATTTTTTTCTGGTCAGAACTTTCTTTAGCTCGGCTTTTGAGTTATCTGCTTTTGAATATGGCTTAAAAAGAGCAAAAAGTCACTTTCAGTGGCGGATTTTTTAAACAATAGGACTGTGACCACAAATTTATTAATTGTTCTCTTTAATCGTGTAAAGTGTAAGAAAATTATAGGCACAATAAGAATCATCTTCTTGTTGTTGTTGTTAAGCTAATTTTATAGAACATTTCTAGGCCTTTAAAATTTCAAGAAATTGATTTTGTTGCGATACTTAAGATTTTATTTTGATAATTAATCATTTGTCATTATTTTAAATTCATAATCAAACTATTACTAAACATATGTTTGCCCCTTCTGAAGAATAAACAATTTCATTTCTGAAGTATAATGATTGTGCTTCTAACCTATATACATTTATTTAATTTAAAAAACGTATGTATCAGCATTTTCCTGTAAGATTGAAAATATTTCAATTAGTTTTTATTTCGTTTTACAAAATGTGGTCAAGGTGGTTCAATATTTTTATTAAGTGTTTTATATTTACTTTCTAACAATTTAAAAAGAAATCTGGTATTCAAACAGTGTAAAGAGCGTCGCTGGCCTTCATTACGCCATGATTACTGAAGCGGATAAAGCGCTCTGAAAAGATTGGTGTGATAAAGCGTCTGGAGGCTTAAGAGTTTTGCTTAATGTTATATAGTTAAACGAAAAAATGTAGGTACAATGTATTTTATAAATGGTAACACTTGTAATTATTGCGTATGTATCAAATAGGTGTTTTTATTTGGTGTTTTCGTGAGAGAGAACAACTGCGGACAATACAATTCTGATAGGGAAAAGTGGTTTTAGGGTCTTAAGCAAATTTAGATTAATAACCTAGTGGTGGGAATTCGTATACAGCGAGAAATTTATAAAAAGATGGACCTTAGATCATTTCGCGCGTCTGTGATATTCCATTAAACATTTTCGTGTCATTTTAACAAAATAATTTTAACGATAGAATGATTATAAATATGTGTAATATAATGAATATATTAAGACTGGAAACTATATAAGGCATTGGAGTGTATTTATTCAGAATCGGCTGATTACACATTCTATTTTTCTATTTCTGGAAATGTTTTAGATACAAAAAAGGATTGAAAAGGTGTGTATTAAATATTATGGATTTATTGTTTGATAGATAAATATTTCGGACATTATAGTCAGTGATTCGAGCTTTTTTTTTTATCATTTATGACTTATAAGCATGGATTTATCTGATTCAAGACCTATAATTTTAGTTTATTTTAGAGTGAGTATATCAGATTTTATGACTAAAGCAGGCAGCACGCCTCCAGATTCATGCTAATTTTCATAAAAAATTTAAAAATGTATTTAAAGGTATAATTTTGTGAAGTAACCAAACCGAAGCAGTTGACAGATTATCAATTACACTTACAACCCACGTAAATAGCCAAAAAAGAGAGCATTATATGCAGATAGCAATGACTATAATATAACTTTACTAAATATACTTAATGTCATTAAGTTAACTATCATAACACCATTGTGTCTCCAGATTCATGCTAATTTTCATAAAATTTTGAAAATGTATTTTATATAATTTTTTGAAGTAACCAAAAGGAAAATATTTTAAAAACATTCTCAATGACGCTTACAACCCACGTAAATTAGCAACAAGAGAAAAAAATTGCAAAAACAGTTCTTACTGCGTTAGTTACGCAGTAAAAATATAGTTACAAGTATTGGCAAATTTGTAAATCATTACTTGAATAAAATTTTCTTTTACTTTCTTAAAATCTTAGTACATTTTTCTCAAGTTTGATTTTATTGCAATAGTTTGGCTCATCTGGAGACATGTAGCTCTAAGACAAAACAACCAGTAAACAGCACTTATATTACACAGTTCCCGACTCTACTCGTAAATTAGTCGGGGGTCTTTTTAAAAAGAAAAAGAAATACTAAGTAAATAAGATCGGGCGCAATTGTATAGTGGTAACAATGTCTTTCTTCAAATCTAGGGGTCACGAATTCCTTCTTCCATTATCCTAACTAAAATCACTTACAAGTCCCTTTTTGCTGCGACTTAAAAAAGAGGTTCCGTAAAATGTTTCCCCTGAAATTTCTGTATGCACTGGATCCAAAAAAATTAATACAACAAATGTATATAAACAAAAACAAACTAATGTAGCGAGTAGACCACAAGGGATTCCGTCTTGAATGAAAATAAACATACATGTAATTATATTATATAAGGTAAATGTTTTCCCTGGTTCTAAACGTCTTGAACATAAGTTGAATACTATAACATTATCTTGATAATCTTTATCAATCTGTCGACGTGTTTTTGTGTTTTTTGTTTGTTTTTGTTGTTGTTGGTGGTGGTGGGTTTTTTTTAACTACTGTTTTATGCTGAGGTTTGATTACACACCATTTTGTTGACTTTTCTGTATATAGTGCTGAGTATTATAGAAATTCGACTATTTATATGAACATTATTGTCACTGATTTTATCTTATAAACGAATAAATTGCCATATTTATATGAAACCAGTATATCAAGTGTGTTTTTGCGTCAAAGCCCAATTCAACTACCTAAATACTTAGTATAATGTAAACTTACTAATACTTAGTATAATTTAAACTTACTAAAATAGGTGAATAAAGGCTAACATATAAACTAAATCTATTATCACTTAGAAAGACCACGTTGACAATAACCGAATGACGGGAAATGAAATAATATGTTCCAATGTCGTGTAGCGGGCACTAGGTTACTGATTATAGATAAACCATTGTATATCACCAACTTGATCAATACAAATGTTTAAAGTTGTTCTACTTTGTCCGGCAGCAAGATTTTAATCAAAGAAAGAGAAAAAAAAACAACATTATTCAAAACGTGGTCTTTTTTTTTTGGGGGGGGGGGGGGGGGGGGGCGGTAATTTTTTTTAATTATTATTTCCAATTTCCCGATATTTTCTTTTTCAAGAATGTTTGATATTAAGCTATTCCATCCATCTATTATAAAGTAATAAAAGGATATTTTTTCGTTTGAGTGAAATATGATATATATTTTCACGAAACATGATAAAATGCCACATATTTTCACGAGCCGGTACGGCGAGTGAAAATATGTGGCATTTTATCATGTTGAGTGAAAATATATACCATATTTCACGAAAAACGAAAAAATAACCTTTTTATTTAATTTCATTATCAAAGAAAATGGTAAAGAAACCCCTTGCTTGCTACCAACTGTAATTGTACAGCGCGCAGTAATTTATGCGTAAGCACGCGCTGTTTTGCGCTACATTGTGACGTCATGTAAACAACTCTTTAAAACGAAAAAATAACCTTTTTTATTTAATTTCATTATCAAAGAAAAATGGTTACGAAACCTATTGCTTGCTACGCAACCAAGGGGGAGAATCACGCAGTTCGTTACCCAAACAAACAAGATGGCGGATGCAGCCAAAAAGTAGGTTTTTCTCTTTTTTCTCTGAAATTCGTGATGTTCTAATGTAAAGGTACATATAACAACCTTCTCCATAATTTTCCTGGCACACAGGATTTTATTTCATGATGTTTCGTCCCGTACTTCATCTGAAATGCGCGTCACCAGATTCGAAGCGAGAGAATTTTCCATCGGTTTGATCGTGGTAACGTACGGCTTTTTCTCTCAAATTCACTGTTTCTTTTACATTTATGTATATTAACTGAAACCACTGACTTTAAAAAGATGTAATATGTTGTCAAGTAAGCAATCATGCCCATTCTGGCTAGATTTACTGCTGTAAATTAATATCGGGACATTTTCCGGAAATGATAACGTATGGCGCACAAAATATCAATGATAACGTACGGCGCATTTTACTACTTGGTGGATTTTCATTTGTCCAATCAGCTGATAATGAATTATTTTTATGTAGGAAATGATAGGTATCTGAAAAAAAATGTTGGTCAGGTCAGAAATAATTAATTGAACAATGCTGTACCATCGAAAATAAATATCTTTCTCGCTGGTGGCATAATAGATATCCGTTGTTAATATACCAATTAAAACACACGTGTCTGGTTTGAGAATATTTTGTATAAAATGAAGAATGGAAAGAAAAGCCTCCACTTTCAGGAAACATTTGTGTAGTGTTGTCTTCAGTGACTCTTCACATTAAATTTCGCCAGTGTTGTGCGATAATTATGGTCTTATTCCCTTATCGGAAAGAAGAAACGAATTCAGCAGAGCAAAAATGTTAAAAAGGTACGGACGGCTTGATATATTTTCTTTTCCAAAGAAAACGTCTAAAATCATTCCTAACAAAATTCTGATAAGGAAATCTTAATATTTGAACCCTTCAAACATTTACAAAACGAAAATTGATTGCGACTAGCTTACACCCAGATGAGATGAGCCTGTGTTTATTCAATCTGGTCGCTCATTGAAAGAAAAATACATAACAGAGAAAAATGTATGAGTGTAGGTTCTATAATGAATTTATTGAATGAGTAAGAAAATAATGTTATGCGAAAAACTTCAATGAATTTAGTAAATAAGAAATTTTCTTTATATTTGACGGGCGGTTAATATTGAAACGCTACCATTTAGCGTGACGTTATGCCACTATGACGTTAGATATATTTACGCGACATAGCCTTACAGATTTTTTTTTATAGTAGACAGTAGACATTTTATTTTATTCCAATAGGCTTTAAAGCCGATGAGGACATAAAACATGCACAATAACGAACAGTTCATATAAACATAATGTCAAAAATCATGAAAAGGTTTGGAGAAGATCAATTTTGATTGATAAAGTAAATACCAGCCGAAATTTTCTTAAGGAGTTACATAATGAACATTTTCAAAATTGATCTTTAAACCAGTTACTTATAGGTCTCTTGTATACACATATACATCCACACATATACATGTACATACATACAAAAACATACATTACATGAACCATTAATGCAAAATTGTTGTATATTGATCAATTTTTAACACATAAACGCAATTACCGTATGTTTTTACACATATCCTAAAAAAAATGAAGGTCCCTTCGCATCAATTGCGGATTTTATAATTGTAAATGAAAGGAACGTCATAATTTGATCAAAACAATTACATGCAAGAATTTGCCTATCATATTCTTGCGGTTTTTTTCCACAAACGCCCCAACAATAACATTAATTTCTTTAAAAAAAAGTATTGCAGGTATCAGCAATAAAAGAGTGACATTGGAATTTGATTATTAATTCCTAGTGTTAATTATAAAGTTTCAAATTGGAGTTGGATTTTGATGTTTTTACCCATGCCGGAAAACCCGTCTGAAACCTTTAATGCCAGACCGCTCATGCGCTTAGATGACGTCATTATCTTTATGAGAGAACGGTTTTAAAAATAATTACGCTACTCTTAAACTAGTGTTTACGAAGAATATGTAAGTGTTCATCCGTGTTGTTCTACAGAAATAAGAAACTTCGACGGGAGCGATAGCGACCGGAGAATATTTCTTATTTCTGTAGAACAGCTACGGATGAATACAAACATACTTAGTGTCAAGCTTTATTTGCCTTCATTAATATTAACTTTATTTCGTCACTATACCTGTCCATTTGCACAAACGCGGTTCTATGATGCACTATTAAAAATTAAAGGCTGCTATGAACGGACTTTGATATATCATCGACTTTTGTTCTTCTTTGAAAATTTACACAAATACAACGCTTTCATTGGATGACAAATAAAGCTGGACACTTATATTATTTATTTCAGTTTCTTAATTTGGTTTTCTTAATTTGGGGTTGCGTTCATTGAACGCCGCCTTTCCTTGTTGATCTTGTTTATCATATTTTAGACATCCTCTTATGTTTGTAAACATAACTTTTCTATTATAAAGAAAATCAATTAATAAGAAAAAAAATGCGCCGTACGTTATCATTGATATTTTGTGCGCCATACGTTATCATTTCCAGAAAATGCCCCGATATTAATATTTTCAGCGGTCTATCTAGCCAGAATGGGCATGAATGCTTAGATGACGACATATTAATACTTTTTAAAGTCAGTGGTTTCAGTTAATATACATATATGTAAACGAAACAGTGAATTTTAAGGAAAAAGCCGCACGTTACCACGATCAAACCGGTGGAAAATTCTCTCGCTTCGAATCTGGTGACGCGCATTTCAGATGAAGTTCGGGACGAAACATCATGAAATAAAATCCTGTGTGCCAGGAAAATTGTGGAGAAGGTTGTTATATGTACCTTTACATTAGAACATCACGAATCTCAGAGAAAAAAGGGAAAACCCTACTTTTTGGCTGCATCCGCCATCTTGTTTGTTTGGGTAACGAACGGCGTGATTCTCCCCCGTGGCAACTGCAATTGTACAGCGCGCAGCAAAATATTATTGCGTCTTGTCTTGCACGCGATATTTGGCGCTACATTGTGACGTCATGTAAACAACTGTTTAAACGTCTGTACAGCGTTAATAACTGAATTAAAGATATTGGTGTTCGGATTTATTTTCTTAGTTAGACCATTTTCTATCATTCTAGATAGTTTTCAAAGCAAAATTCAACAAAAATTTGTTTTGTATTTATCAGATTTTTCAAACAAAATGGCGAAAGAAGTCCCTAAGAATAAATATGAGTTTTGACTCCGCCCACTTTCATGTTTATATCTCATATTTATTTTTAAAAAATATGAAATATATTTGACTGATATAGCACCATATTTCATGGGTAAAATTAAATAATGGTTATTATGCTACATTTTGTTTATGAGTATAATGAATTTGCCCAGAAGTCCGTGTGAATTGAATTCGGTACCAAAATGCAAAATAAAATGAGTTACCAATTAATACATGTAATACTTCATGAAAGTGCAGGATGGAACATATATTGGTGGCAAAGGTTAATTACTTTCGCATTGGTACCAACCGGCTATGTATTAATTTGGCAAAAGCCGTATTTTTTCTGTATCTAGATAAATTTCAAAAGCGATAAGATGACACATTTTGTTTTTGATGTCGAGTATGTTCACGCTTGTGCAAAATCAAGTGTTTAAATGTCACTAAGCGTTTGCAACGCTTTAATGATACATTGAAGTTTAATTTATAAGTTGTATTCTAATAGCAGAAAAATCCAAAGAAAGTCTTAGAATCTACGGCTGCCACACATTTTTCTTAAAGAATTATTTGAATCCTTAATTCTTTAAGAAAAATGTGTATATATGTATATGTAGATAAACGGTAGGATTTTCATTATAATTGTTGTAAATTGTTATAACGTAAAATAACACAGTCATTATATTCTCATGAACACCAGGAATCAAATTCCTATCCTGACAGTTGAAATTGTTGCTTTAAACAATTTTTAAAATGGTTGTTGTTGTTGTAGTAAGATATAAGGAGAAACCAGAACAATGTTCACATATTAATCGATCTTTTATCATATCGATCTGATCATCAATAATTGAATCATTTCAATTCAGATTTTACATTAACAATGGACATGATTCAATGTTCAATTTACATATTGTCAATTACAGTTTGAATTCATGTCATTTATTCATGCGAAGTTTTAATCACATTTGCAGACGTCAGAAACAACGCAGCAGAAATAGAAGGAAAGAAAAACTAAACGAGATAAAGAAAGTGTTTGAAGAACATTACAGTGAATATAGTGCACCAACATTGGACGGCATGGTTGTCTTAACACGGGATAGGCCACAAACGTTTGCAGGTAAGTGCAATAACAATATGCTTGTGTAAGCATATAAAATTATATGTCTTTTTTATTTTTGTTGATAATTTTAAACTAAAGATAAAAGCTATAAAGTATGTTTGAAGGAAGTCTTACGATTCTAGAGATGTAAATATTCGGACGTCATTTAAGCCGTCATATTCTTTTAGTAAAATGCTCACGTATCTTTTTAGAATGGCGCTCACATCAATCTTCGACAAGTCCTGCAGTGCTGACGACCCAGCCACCTTCTCGTGAGTCCAGGTATTTTGTCAAGTCAAGCCGAACTGCTAGGTCGATCTCACCGACTCGAACTTCGCCAAGAGCGCCAATTTACGAGCGTGGAAGGTCAAAGCAAAAGATTGTTTATCAAAATCGAGGGGAAAACAACACACTTGTTTATCAGGTAACATTTAAAAAGAAAGAATATATGTTGCATTATTAATAATGTGCTTAAAAATCAATGTTTTGTATCTAGTTAAAACTCCAAATTGGCAAATTTTACGCTGACCTGATACAAATGTCCTAGTTGAAGACAGGGCATAGGTTAAAAATTGTCTTGTATCATAGTTCTAAACACTCGGCAATTTGATTTATACTCAGGGGCTACGCCCCCTCGTACAAATCAGATATCCTGGTGTTTCGATGCTCTTTCTATAACTTAGCTACTAGCCTCGTCAGACTGCTAGAGGTTTAACTGTATTTTGATATCCATATCCCTTAAACTTTGAATTAAATATTGCAGATTCAATATGGGTTAATTCATTACACAGATTCAGCAGGTTAATTAAAAGTAAGGGCATGTCGACTGAAAAACGTCTGAAACACTGCAAAAGTGGTTTTTATGTTTAAACGTTGATAATTCTGCCTTAGCCGGTGCTAGCGGGGGGCGGTAGCATGCAGTTACCAATGCCATCCATGGACAGGATCAATCAGACCGAGTCTACAACATTTTCAATTTTGCATTTGTTTTTGTCGTTCTTTAGAGAATCCGTACTTTTTTCAATATATATAATTTATAATTTAGTATACAGTTTAATAAAAACAAACGTTTTTTTAACGTTCGACGTTTTGTCTTCTTCAGAAAAAATGACCAATTCATATATTTTTTTCCTTCTTGTAATACATTTTTTTTAGATATGCTTCACGAATACAAAGGAGACCTGATGGCTTGTGTAACATCATTTTATTTTTCAACTATATTTTTGAATGATTCAATTTCAAATGTATGAAATAAATAATTGATAACTTTCACACAATGTAAATGATTCATTGTTCTATTTTATTCAAAACCACCCGACTGAATTAATTATAAATTCTACATACGGTAATTATTCTACTTTTTCGAAATAATTAATCATAGTTCTGTATCAATACACTTTAACAAATATCCCGGGGAAAGGGAAAATATTTTTTTTGTTTATTTGTAGAATAGCTATGTCTACGAATATCATTATATTACGTGGAATAACCAATTATTGTTAATTCAAGTGTACCATGTGACTAAAAGCTGTGTACTTTTACATAGGTAACAGTACTTTTTCACAGTAAAAATCTGAAACATATAAATCTATAGAAATAGTGTTCAAATGAAGTATTTGTTTGGGGATATGAAATAAATAACACATAGGTTTGTGAGTAACAGCAAAAATATTATCCGTTAAATTCGGCTAACTCCTCAGTTAACAGTATTTTTGGGAGTACTGTTACTCACAAACTATGTGTTATTTTATAACATGAGAGGTTTTGGCTCTGGTTAGAGTTAAACTACAAGATTGTGTTCAAAGTAGAGTTGGGGAGGAATTTTACTTATCTTAATGATCCTCCCCTCCCCCTTTCGAGAAACTGAGATTTATTGTAAATAACCCAGGTATCAAGACATTTGTCAAAGCCATAAAAACATACCATACTCAATTAAGCGGATATCAAATTAATTTGTTGAGTAACACATGATTAATGATTCGTTTCCAATTATCAAGATTGGGTTTCGAAAACAATCAATTTTTGTTTCATGGGAATTGGCATTTTAAATTTATGATATATCATACGCTGCTTTAATATTTCAAGCATACAAGTTTCTACTTTTTACATCTGACTTTTTGTATTTTCTATTTACTTCACTGAATAAATTCTCTTCTCAAACCTGACTTTACATAAAACTTTTTTTTTCCAAAAAAGTTTAACAATTACACGACTCTTATATGGTCTATTAAATTTCAAATTAAATTAGTTATTTTGTTATAAAAGTGTACCATCTTTATCATGTTGAATCTAATAAACGCAATTTTATAGCTAGTGTATAAAATGTTTTTGTCCTTTTTTCTGTTTTTCTGGGTTTTTTTGTCGCATAGGATACAATATAATCACAAAATGACACCATTGTATATTAAAAGTTCTTAAAAATTCAAACATTACGACACGTAACTGCAAAAATTATCTGATTAATTTGACATAAAAACATTTATTTGAAAACGTTTTATGCTGTTGATTATAGACGCTTGTTTGCTTTTGATAATTACCGTGAAATTGCCTGCTTTCTATGTGCTCCTGCATAATGAATTATCTTTTAATGTCTTTCACTTTTCTTTTTATTTCTTTTCAGAGATCCAAATCAGCACCTAATTTGAACCGTAAGGAATATGTTCCTTCCTATCCACCATCCTATCCAAATCGTCAGTTATTCTACACAAAATCGCATTATCTTGCCATAAAACAACCATTTTCTAAGAAGTATCTGTTGCCACCGGTACGTACCTTCTACGCCGAGCGTCCCGTCGCCAAACGTGTTGTTGTTCCTGCTCCCGCTCCCGCACCCCGTCAGGTTGTAGTCCCACCCCCGAGGCAAGAGGTGGTCAAACCAAATGTTTACCATGTCCAGTACAAAGCTTCTCCAAACCAGATAGTTCACAGGACTAAGTTGACAGAAAATATAGGTATGTATTCTGGAACTTGTAGTATATTTTCAAAACTATTAACTATACATATTCATATTACATTGTAGTTGTTTTCACAGGTGTCTCAGGGCTTATGGTATAAAAAAAAACAAGCCTTAAGGTTATAAAACTTCTGTCTGAGTTCTGTCTCAAATCTCGGGATTTTCATTGGTCAGTGTACATTTTGTGACAGTCTCTGACCAATCAAATACCCGAGATATGAGTTTGAGCTTAGAGAATTTCTTTATAACCTTGGGGCCAGGTCGGCGTCATCAGCATCAAATTTCAACCCTGGTTTTAATACTTGGTACTTATATTTTTTAAGGTCTGTACACCTTGTTAATATGGAGACCAACAATGCATATTTATAATTATCAAACGAGGAGTTGGATTATTGCATGTTGGGTGACATTGTTTTGTATTTATCACTGTATGTCTGAACGCTAGCGGAAATAATCATACATTACTTTAGCAAAATCAGTTCATGTAGTTAAACAATTATGTATGCTAAAAAATGTATTTTGACATTTATTAATGCAAAAACCTTGTGAGACAAATGTATATTCAATAACGCTCCATATAAACCTTTTGAGGGCCAATCTTAAAAGTTAGTTACTTATGCTCCAGTAACATAATTATCTGATCTACCCGCACATCCGTATAAACAGGGAGACGGACAGTCGGACAAAACATTCATCATATATGCCTGATTTTAGTATAATTATAAATAAAATATCTTCACATTAACTATGGACATTTTCGAATTCAAGCTCGATAAGTCTAAAATACAAATTTAGAATGGTATAGGTGTATATAAAGAAGCGATTATTACTTTAATGCGCAGTTACCCATAAACATCTAGTTTAAACTGGAATTTCAAAACTTGTTTGAAGGCGTAATATTTCTAAAAATAAGAAAGAGATTAGTTTATCCATTTATCCATAAGCAAGCAAAAATAATTAATGTTTCTACTTTAATGCCTTTATGATCACAGTAAAAGCAAAGTTATAATATTCTGAAATTACATAGATTTCACGGTATTGCGCGTACAAAATCAAATGCGATTTTAACTTTATTAAACTATGTTTTATTTACATTTTAATAATACAATGTACATATATATGTTTGTTTATCAACATATGTTGTTTTCTTCCCGTGTTTCTGAGAGAGTAGATCAAAAAAGATTAAAAAACTTGTTGACTCAATATTGCAGTACGAGAAAGTCGTGGTCAGTCTAAGAAATGAAGCATTTAAATGTTCTTAAACACTGCAAAAAGCAATAATAGTTGATTTATATGAACAAGAAGATACTGTGTCTAGTTTAATAAATCAAATAGTTTATAGCAATTTTTAGAGAGGTACTTATTGTTCTGTATTTATTTATAAATTACTGTTTTACGTGTACTTGAACTTGTGATTGATCATGAAATCATTTCTATGGTCATTCACACTGTACCTCTGCTCTGGCATGTACAGAAGTAATCAGTTCCTTGAGAAAGTGAAGGCAACTAGTACTGGTAAACTGCTTGACAGCCTGCCCAGGAACGATGCGGTGGCTGAACTGTGGTTCTGGAAAATTCAATGTGGCTTTCTGCCGTGATCCGGAGTGAAAACTACCAACACCACCACTTGAACCCCGTTTTTCTCTTTTCGTATTAAGATACCAGGTATTTCATAGAAAAATTGCAAGTTAACGTGCTAAAGCAATTTGTAACGTTTTAATTTTTATAATAACTGTAATTTAGTTCATCATTTGTTTCTTTTACAGATGAAGATTTCAGGTTGCAAACAACAAACACGAGTCAGTATCAAAATACATATCAAAACTACCGCAGCTACGAGGAACCCGTGCATACAACATACAGGTCGTACGAGGAACCCGTGCAAACCACATATCGAACCTATGAGGAGCCTATCCAAACTACTCTGTCAAACTACCAGCCTAGAGTAGTGCGACCACAATCTTCTTATGTATACAGAATATCAAATAGTGATGGTGAGCACGTGAACATTTTCTTAAATCAATACAATTAGCAACTCATAAATTCCACGTTGACAGTTAGAAATTGTAGATAAAGTAGTATACCTTATAAGTATATATAGTGTGTTTATAAGTACTTCTTCGTAGATCGTCTTCCTTTAACTCCGTCTATTTTTTGTACCTTCAACTTTGTTGTACCATAAAAAAGGTGTTTCCATTAAAAAAGTCGTTCTGCCAGACATCCTTTTATAGCCCTTTATCAAAATTTTAATATGTTACATTTAATATTGAATAATAATTGCATTACGCTTAAGCTTTTATTTTCACTGTTCAGTGAATTACCTTCATAAAAAATCAATTGTGATGTCCAACTTTCGTTAAAGACCATCTGTAGTCAGCAGCCACCTTTCTCTGAAGATTATAATTTTATCTCAAGTGTCGTAAAAACCAACCTGTTCATACAGAGCAACTGTCTGCAAGAACCACAATATGATTCCTCCGAAAGCAAAATAGACTCGCATGTATATTCTTAACTCGCTTAATAAGACCATACATACAATTTATAGGGGTCTTATCTTAGTTTACTGGTGTCCCTGTAACAAGTGCTACACCTGCCAAAAGAAACATGGTCTTTAAGGTGGTTCCTGTTCATGATATGTACTTTTGCAGAATTGACGTTTTTTTTTCTAAACAATGACCTCTTCGGAGAGCTTCTGACTCTTCCATTGTCCTTATGGTTTTCAGGTAGCGGACTTCGAGCAACAGAATGGTAAGGAATTATCCATGCGGTATTGAAATTGTAATCTTTTTTGAAAGTGGTCGCACATTTATAGTCAGAAGTCATGCTTTTTACTTTTTACGTCTAATCTAGGATACTTTTCTTATATCTAACCAACTCTATATATATTTATAGATAACATAGTTGAATAATTCAAATAGTCCATAACTCTTCAAAACGATGATTAATAATTTTATTTAATTATCTTTTCATAATACTGCAAACTAACAAGCTCAGCTAAAATGTTTATCTCCATGAGGCCAAGGTCTTTGTTTGAACATTAAAGTTTGATACTGTAATCTGCAGTTTGGTGAGAGACACGTGGCGTTTCTGACCGTTTTTAGTAAGTTCATCTCATGCATTTGGGGTAGTTTTGACAGGTTTATGTTAACTTAAACATAAACAACCTTAATAAGAAAATAAAAAAAGGTGCAAAACGTTTTGAGTATTTACGTATTATTGGTATATTTGTTTAATAATTATAATTGAGGTTGCGGTTATTGTAACGCATGCGCATTTGGTAATTTCTGTTTGTTTTCGCCTTTCTTCTGTTGATATTTAACATTTCTTTCTGAATTTCATTATCGGAAAACAGACATTCTTTTGTTATGATAATTAGCATGACGGATACATTTTATATTCAGATAACTTTATTCCTTCGTCCACAGCCATTTTATCAGAATAAGATATAAAATGTTTGGTTGCCGTTTTTACATGTTGCACAACAATGCACGTTTTTATTTGCTCTTTATGATGCATGCCGTGCCACATGTGACACATGGTAAAGTCAAAATACTTACTTAAAATCATGTCACAATGTTTAACATAGACAATAACATAATAATTTGACTGACTTAACAAAATAATATGTCAGACAGTATGCATGGTGGTATTTTAAAAAAAGAGTACGTTTATCTGAGTAAAAGGATTTTAAAAATAATTTTACCATTGCATTTTCTATATTAGATACCCGCTTCACTTAGTTTGCGTGTTGATATTTTTTGTGTTAACCTTTATTTGGCTTTAACGTGTTTTTATCTTATTCACTTCATAAACTACTGTTGAAGTTCAGCATTTTCAGGTTATGATATTTTATATAGTTAGATAGCGCTATCATAATGAACACAAATATAACAATGTTTGCCCATGCCAGTAAACACCTTTCAGCTGGCGCTACGATGCATTTTAAATTTCTTCGTCACATAATGTTCGATATTAAAAATATTTAAGATCAGATACTTATAAACAAACTGATTAATGATTTTACATGTAAATAGAACTTGGCGTACAGACCTTCAACAATTTCTTAAAGTTACTTAATATCTTGAACCTGACTTTGCATCCTAATTCTTATATTTCTTTACATCTTTAATTTGAACTTTCACCAATGTTTAGATAAAACTTTTTAGTACATGCCAGAAATAATACAGATATATTTGGTAACACATTTCTATTTTTCTTTTAAGGTCTGGAGAAACTACTGGAATAAATGTAAGTATCTTATTTTTGTAGGTAAGTTACGCGGACGTAAATCAGGTGTGGCTGATTTAGAAAAGCCCGTAGAGTGCATCCACGTGCTTGCGCCTATGTAAAAACACCGCCCTGTTTTTAAGAGAGTGTCAAATTAATGAATTTTAGTTTTAGTTTTTGTGTTAATTAAGACATCTTCAATAATTATCCTGATGAATTAAAGGATTATCCATCGAAATTACTGATCTTCTTAACAATTTGTTTAAGTTTCTATATAGGCGGTCACTACAGTAAAATATCGGACCGATGACATCAACCTCCAATTATATTTTATAAATACGCCCAATCTACCATATGTGTGAACATTTGATTTAGTTTTGATATAACACTTTATGCGGTCATATGTTATTTTGATCTTTTAAGTTTTGTTTCTTTTTTTCTTTCAGACTCAGCTTTTGACAGCACCGGAAGGGGAAAGCGCTTTTCAAAGAACCACTACATATACGATGAACTACACAGACGAGGCCCGCGTCTCTAATGGAACAGAACTGAACAAAACCGTAGCAGACGACTTCACAATAATAGATTACGTAGAAGAAGGTCAAGGTCAGAGATCTAGTAATAGGGTCATCAGTGGAGCGGGCACTTCCGGTACAGGTGTGGTAACGGTCATCAGCACTACAAATGCTGAGGAGGGTCAAACTCATAACTCCTCAGCACTGAATGCACTTGACAACCTACTGGGTGATAATGCGTCGAATAAGTCCAGTAGCTCAAGTAGCTCCAGTAGTAGCAGTAGCAACAGCAGCAAGTCGTCAAAGAAATCTTAAGTTAAGAAAAAATGGCCGCCCTTAAAGCCTCTTTACAATCTGTAAGGACTACAAGTTCTGAAAAAATAGTGTTCAGACAAATGGTCACTTTCTTTAATGATGCAAACTATATTTAGATAAGAAAATACGTGTACACGATTATACAAACATTTTACGGCATCTACCAACATGGACATATAAATAATACGTACATGATTCTTCAAATCAAGGATAAAACTGATTATAAACAGTTAAGGTCAGATAAAATTAATTATTTACATATCTATAGGGAACACCTTTCACGTGCGTCCGCTTAGTTTTGAATTTAATGCATTTACTCTCGCTTTCACATATATACTATTGATGTGAACTTTATAATTGAAGAATCAAATAAACACCTAATTGCCTTATTGAATCAACGGATGTTTCGTCTGGGACATGTTTTCCTAGCTTTCAGAACTGCTCTCCGATAATAATCAATTATCATAGCCATGTTTAGCTGTGTTCAATCAATCAATACCTTTCCTCGTTGTTGTTGACATTTCGACGCCATTGTTGTAAAAATATTGTCATTTTCTTATGCAGGCTGATTACACAGTTTGTTAACCTAACGCCACTGATTACTTCCCTTAGACATATATTTGCAACAGGCACGTAGCGGTAGCCTCCCTTTTATTATATTTTTCTTATTAAATATATATGTGCTATTGACATGTAGATATGTGGTTCAGAGATGTGTAGAATGTGGTTCAAAGTGCATGTTTGATAAAAATAGCATGCATGATAACAGGGGAGTTATATACATTTCATGATATTACCATGTATTTTTTCTGCATGTATGTCATTTTGTGTTTATGCGGAAAACTTGAAACAATAAAATTTATATAACACTTTGTATTTCAAAAGTATAGTGTAAATGTATTAACATGCATTATCTAATATATCAAGCTATGCTATTGATTCTATTGAAATTTTATGACTGTATTGGTGGCACTTTCTGTAGATGTATTGTTATATTTGCATTCTCAAAATGTTAACTCACAGAAATGCAAAAAAATATGCTTATAATTGTATTTAACTAGATCATTCACTAATTGAAATATTAGGCTGTGTTTTAAGACAAAATGTGCATTGAGTTGCCATAATATTGACATAAGTTTAGAGCTCTTATACGCATGTTTCCGAGCTATATTTTACTCATTTGTCACAAAGTTTCCGGAAATCGCTTCCGTATTCCAAACGGACTTTACTTATTGCTGCAGATGTATATATTACCACCATTGTTTATCCGGCCATTTCATTAACATCATAGATCAAGTTCAATACAAATCATTTAAAAAAAATATCAATCAGGATTTCTACCGTATATTTTCTTACACAAGATATTGAGCTAACGAGAATTTACGGAAACATCCGGAAATGACCGATAATATGTACTCATATCTTGCTATTACTCATATTATATAAGTTTATCCAATGATATATTTGTTATTTATCTGGTTTATTTACATGAAAAGCTTTGTTTTATGTTAACAAATTTAATAAAATACTATATATAAATTAATGGGTTTTCTGTTTGCTTCACCTGTCACATCATACAAGATGGATAACGCATCCTGGGGTATCTTCATATAAATTATAATGCTACAATGGCTGGATAGATGCTTCGTGATCGAGGAAGGATTCCAGTCCGATCGAGGAGAATAATTACTTCTTTGACTAAGAAATATACCCTGCCAAGTCTATGACAACATTTGTACATGTACTAAACACTTGTAGCATGAAATCGTTGGAAACAAAATATCCATGTCCTTTTTTAGCTCACCTGAGCTAGCTCAGGGTGAGCTTTTAGGATCGTCTGTTGTCCGTCGTCCGTTCACACTTGTTAGTTAACACTCTAGCGGTCACATTTTTGCCTCAATCATCATCAAACTTTGTCAAGATACTAATCTCGTTGATAGAAAAACCTTGTTAACACTATAGCGGTTACATTTTTGCCTCAATCATCATCAAACTTGGTCAGGATGGTTGTCTAGTTGATATCTCGGATGAGTTTGAACATGGGTTATCTCGGATAAAAAAACTAGGTCAATGGAGCTAAAAATAGAGAAAAAAACGGTCAACACTCTAGCGGCCACATTTTTGCTTCAATCATCAATAAACTTGGACAGAATGCTTGTCTAGGTGATAGCTCGTATAAGTAAGAACATGGGTCATCTCGAATTAAAAACTAGGTCACAGGAGCTTAAAATAGAAAAAACCTTTTTAACACTCTAGCGGTCACATTTTTGCCACAATCCTCATCAAACTTTGTCAGGATGCTTGTCTAGGTGATAGCTCGGATGAGTTCGAACATGAGTCATCTCGGATGAAAAACTAGGTCACCGGAGCTAAAAGTTCTAAGGTTTCCGGACGATAACTTGAGTTCTCCAATACCATCGATGAACATGCACAAACAAACCGAGCCTACGATATTTTTGATTGCCCTTTTGGCCGATCTTTAGGGATTCTATATCTTTCTATTTTATAATGATACTTTTCTATTTTACACTATATGAAAAAAAAGATATTTAATATGTTGATGTTAATGATAGTTCAACGACGTCTTTAACAACCTACAGACATGAGCGATAATATTTGAGCCGCGTCACTACAAAACCAACATAATGCGTTTGCGACCAGCATGGATCCAGACCAGACTGCGCATCCTCGCAGTCTGATCAGGATTCATGCCGTTCGTTATCAGTTTCTTTACTTGTAATAGAGTTTGTAAGCGAATAGCATAGATCCTGATCAGACTGCGCGGATGCGCAGGCTGGTCTGGATCCATGCTGGTCGCAAACCCATTATGTTGGTTTTGTCGTGACGCGGCTCAATTTTGTAATCCGAACTTGAAATATCTCGGGTTTTCTAAGCTATTTTCCCGGTACAACAAACTTGTACCGTTATAGATTTACGGTGCACTATCGATCACAATACATTTCTCAACTAGTGGCGCTTACTTTTGAGGCTTTTTGGGTTTCCAGCAACATTTTCAATTTTGTCGTTTTGGGTGTTCTTTAATTTGTGGATTTTATTTTTCTCTATTCTATTGTTATAACATGGTGCCCGTTATGAGTTTTCCGTCGTCATTCGTTATCCACAATTTTGAATACCACATAGTAGATGCTGACCAAATTTCTTATGAATGTCCTTCAGTTATCTACAAAAGTTGTATGCATACGTAGGTTATAATACTCATAGCAGATTTGGAAATGAAATCTTTGAGTAAAGTTATTTATATTTCTCCGTTTTGAGGTATTCTCATTATTATACAAATTTGAAAAAGAAACCGCTTTTTGGCTGAAATTCCATACAATATTCGCCTGTGAAAACCTGGAATTAATGCTCTATGCATATTGAATACATGTCAGGTACTATTCCGAGTTATTCAATCTTATCTCAGTCAAGCTCGTCCAAAATTGTATTTATTTTGGCAGCAGCATCTTATTCTCCTCAATGATGCATATAATGGTCTCAAGGCCCTCCCGTGCATGAAAATAGTATCATCACTTATATCTACTAGCATAAATATTAAGTGAATATCTGAATTCAAAATGTATAGGTCACCTTTTGGTAGATAATTACCTTTAAGAACATGCATAGTTTCATGTCCGGGGTCCGTACTCTCAGTGCCTGAAAGGTCGGATAGATCCTCATTGAACATACAGAATACATACTATGACTGTATTTTAATAAAAGTGTCTGCTAGTATTCATGTGACAAGAGCATAGGTCTTTAGCATGTATCAATATAGATCTCACTTATTGATAGAAATATTTAAATCATTTTAGGCATACTTGCTAATGCCGACATGTTTGGAGAGATATGCATGCTTTTCAAATGGGTCGTAGATATACCTATATCTTGAAAATTCACAATCATAAAGATATTCATCGTGTTGAAAAGTTAAGTGCATAGAAGCCATGGTGTAATTTCCATTTTTGCCCATATCACGCGAACGTTTGCAACTTACGCATTGCTATTGTTCTAATTTAGAACAAAATCAGAATATTCTGAATGTGATATTTCAAGTTTCTCACTTAATTCTTAGAAATGCATTATGTTTGTTTAGGTCATGTGCATTTTTTTTCTTCATTTTTTACCAAAAATGTTGGTTTCAACCTGAAAAATTTGTTCAAAACAACCACAAATAACGTCGGCTTCGCATCATATGAATGATACTTTCACAAACCAACCATATATTATTGTAATTTTGGGTTTTGTTATTACTTGTATTTAAAGGAATTGACAAAAACTGATTAATATATAGGTGGATAACATTACAACGCAAGGCGGTGGGTCCGATTCCATAAATGACTATTTAAGAGTTCAATATAATACCGTTTCTTTGAACGCTGTTACCAGATTACTGCTATGACAGAACGAAGTAAGTCAATATCTTATTTAAGCAGGCTTCATAGCCAATGGTTACGATTGCATTAGTTGACTTTTATTTGAAAGAATGTAACCATAAGTCAAATAATTTTATCTAATTATGATATTATATTTCAGTCTAGTGGAAATACCTGAATATTCACATGACGAGACAATAAAGGGACTGGCAAGATAATAAAGATAGCCTGAAGAAGCCATGGACATGTGCCTAAACAAACTATGAACATATCGCTGAAAAAGCTATGAGCATGTGTTTGAATAAGTAATAACATTATGTTGAGAAAACCATGAACATATGGCTAAGCAAGCCATGAACATATGCCTGAGAAAGCCATGAACATATGCCCGAAAAAGTAATGAATATATGCTTGGGAAAGCCATGCACGTATGCCTGAGAAAGACATGAACATATGCATGAGAAAGTAATGAACATATGCCTGAGAAAGTCATGAACATATGCCTGAGAAAGCCATGAACATATGCCTGAGAAAGCCATGAACATATGCCTGAGAAAGCCATGAACATATGCCTGAAAAAGCCATAAACATAAGCCTGAGAAAGCCATGAACATATGCCTGAGCAAGTCATGAACATTTGCCTGAGCAAGCGATGAACATATCCATGAGGCAGCCAAAAACCATGAACATGTTATAGCAAGTCAAAATCAGGTAGCTAGAAATTAACTGTTATTCAAATGTTATTTGTTACTCTTACTAATTGTTGTTATAACTGTTACTTTAATACTATTTAACTGTTGTTGTTACTGTTACAATCTTATTGTTCCTGTTTCTGTTATTGTAACTGTTACTTTATTGTTACTTTTATGTTATTTTGCTGTTATCAATTGTTATTGTTACTGTTACATTTTTGTTATTGTTCCTGTTACTGGTATTGTTACACCCTTGTTACTTTGTTATTGTTGCTGTTACCAATTGTTATTGTTTCAGTTATTGTTACATTCCTGTTACTGTTGTTGTTACTTTCTTGTTGTTGTTGCAGTTACCAATAGTTATTGTAACTGATACTTGAATGTTATTGTTAATCTAACTAATTGTTATTGTTACTCTTATTCAAATGTTATTTGTTACTCTAACTAATTGTTAATATAACTGATACTTTAATATCCTTGTAACTGTTATTGTTACTGTTATACTGTTATATTCTTGTTATTGTTCCAGTTACTGTTATTGTTACTTTCACCTTCTTGTTATTGTTCCAGTTACTGTTATTTTTACTGTTTCATTCTTGTTATTGCTCAAGATACTGTTTTTTTGTTGTTACTTTCTTGTTATTGTTCCTGTTACTTTTTAATTCATGTTATTGTTCCAGTTACTGTTATTGTTACTGTTACTTTCTTGTTATTGTTCCAGTTACTGTTATTGTTACTGTTTCTTTCTTGTTATTGTTCCAGTTACCGTTATTGTTACTTTCTTGTTATTGTTCCAGTTACCGTTATTGTTACTTTCTTGTTATTGTTCCAGTTACCGTTATTTTAACTGTTACTTTCTTGTTATTGTTCCAGTTACTGTTATTGTTGCTATTAATTTCTTGATATTGTTCCAGTTACCGTTATTGATATTGTTACATTCTTGTTATTGTTTCAGTTACTGTTACTGTTACTTTCTTGTTATTGTTCCAGTTACTGTTATTGTTACTGTAACGTTTTTGTTATTGTTAAAAAACTGTTATTGTTACTGTTTCATTCTTGATTGTGTTCCTGCGACTGTTATTGTTTACAGTTACTTTCTTGTTATTGTTCCAGTTACTGTTATTGTTACTGTTACTTTCGTTTGCTTGTTCCAGTTACCGTTATTGTTTCTTACCTGTTATTGTTCCAGTTACTGTTATTGTTACTGTTACTTTCGTGTTATTGTTCCTGTTACTGTTACTGTTTCATTCTTGATTTTGTTCCTGTTACTGTTATTTTTACTGTTACATTCTTGTTATTGTTCAAGTTACTGATTTTGTTATTGCTACTTTCTTGTTATTGTTCCAGTAACTGTTATTGTTACTGTTTCATTTTTGATTTTGTTCCTGTTTTTATTACTGTTTCATTCATGTTATTGTTCCAGTTACTGTTATTGTTACTGTTACTTTCTTGTTATTGTTCCAGTTACTGTTATTGTTACTGTTTCATATTTGTTATTGTTCCAGTTACCGTGGTAAGCCTTGATGAAACTTAACACAACCAGCAAAACTTGGTTATGTAGAAAACTAACGATGCAATAAATTTTGAGCACACGGGGATGTTGTGGCTGCCGGGAACTTAGTGTAAAAGTAGCGGTGTTGGACAGACTTTTAAAGGATTAATCTTTTGCTGTGTTGGACCACCGGGGGTTGTGAAGACATTGTGTTAGAATATCTGTAACTCGAACGCCGCATATCAAGAGGTTGTTTACAGGTATGTAAATTACACACCTTATTACAATTGTGATATAGTAGATTCAAAAGATTCCAAAAGTTTATTTTACGTAATATAGGCCTCTTTCCCAACATACACACCAACATATATTAATTTAACATTGTTAATAGGTTGTGATCATACATTTTATATAGAGGATATTGAATGATTTGATACTAAGCCTACTGAACGAGTTAAACAAAATTCAAAGAACGGTTTACATATTCTTTAGTATTACATCAGTATGCAAATATCTCTATGTAAATTCAGCAAACTTTACATCTAAAGAGTAAGACATACGAGATGTGAAATGTGCTGAGTGTTAATAAATGTTTGACTAGTTTATTCTAACCTATTTTATACACAGCTACAGTATATATAGCTAGACAATTGTCATTTTTATGGAAAGCCTTGACTGTCTTATGATTGTAAAAATGAACGTTGTTGTGTCACTCTTTCTTTATACGATGTGCACTCATGAATATATTATGTAGATGCATCCTTATATGAAGTCAACTCAACAATATATGATGTCAATGTGTCTTTATATGATATCGACCAATCATTATACGATGTGCATTTATGAATATATGATGTGGTAGAATCATTATATACAGTCAACTTATCAATATATTATGTCAATCTTTCATCATACGATGTGCATCTATTATTATACGATGTGCATTTATGAATATATTATGTGGTTGCATCCTTATATACAGTCAACTTATCAATATAATATGTCAATCTTTCATTATACGATGTGCATCTATTGTTATACGACCGCTGCTTTATATGAAGTGCAAACATTATTATATCGTGTGCTTCTGTCATTATACTGATGGGGTTAAATTTACCGGGTTATATCTCACTATGCACCGTTAGTGGCGACAGCGGGAAAACTCAAAGTAAATTGTATCATGTTTTGTTAAGCTGACTCTATATAAAGACAATTCTACATAATAAAGTGTTGTTTTGACTCTATATAAGAATGGTTCCACATAATATATTTGTAATTGCACATCATATAATGAAAGACTGACATCATATAAGGACACATACACATCATACAATGTTAAGTTGACTCCATATAAAGATGGTTTAACATAATATATTCATTAATGCACATCGTATAATGAAAGATTGACATCACATAAGGACGTGTTGACATCATATAATGTTAGGTTGACTGTATATAAAGATGGTTTCACATAATATATTCATTAATGCACATCGTACAATGAAAGATTGGCATCATATAAGGACGTGTTGACATCATATATTGTTAAGTTGACTCTATATAAAGACGGTTCTACATAATATAATGTTATTTTGACTCTATATAAAGATGGTTCCACACAATATATCCATTAATGCACATCGTATAATGAAAGATTTACATCATATAAGGACACATTTACATCGTATATTGTTAAGTTGACTCTATATAAAGACGATTGTACATAATATACTGAAAAATGCGCAGCGTATATTAATAGATTGACATCATATAATGTTGACTCTACATAATTATCATTCCACATAATATATTCATAACTTCACATCATATAATGACAGACTGACATCATATAAGGACAGACTGACATAATATATTGTTATTTTGACCTTATATAAGGATGGTTCCACACAATATATTCAAAAATGCACATCGTATAATGATATATTGACATCAAATAAAGGCACATTGACATCATATATTGTTCAGTTGACTACATATAAAGATGGATCCACATAATATATTGATGAGTGCACCTTGTATAAGGAAAGGTTGACTCAATATATTGCTATTTGGACATAACAATGTTCAGGTTTATAATTATAAGACAGTCAAGGCTTTCCATAATTTTTACTGATTCATTATACTGTATAATTGTTTTCATGAATAATATTAAAATTTATTGGATATAAATATGTAAAACTTACATTATATGCATGCAGTATTTTTATATTCAACAAATTGTTTTTAGCAGCAAGATCGGGAAGTGTTAAAATGTTGGTATATAGAAGAAAGCAAGTCTTTAAATCTACAAGAAAGATATTTATGATGTATCTAGTATCTGAACAGTTATAATGTTTAGTATTGCCCAATATAAAAGTAACTTGCAGTTCCTTGTAAAAGTGAAGGCAACTAGTACTGGTAAACTGCTTGACAGCGTACCATGGAACGATGCTGTGGCTGAACAATGCTCTTGTTAATTAAGTAGCTTACTGCTGTGATCAGGGGGTCAAACTACAAAAACAAACCAACCCCGGTATACTGTTTATTCCAGAGCTTTATTTGGTTTACATGGTGTGTTTTCAGGAGTGTGTAGTTTTAAGGTGAAGAACTAACATAACGGAAAATGTTCTAAAAAGAATTAAAATTGATAGTGACTCTGCTTGCTCTCTTTTTTTCTTGTCGCATTTGTTGTAAAGGTCTTCCTTTAAACCATTACACAAATACAGATTTGTTTTGTACTGTATGTGAAAAACACTTCGATAACATGAAACCTCACACATAGAATTTTATAATTACAGGCGAAGAGTGCGGTTGTGTTTTTGGTTGAGCTGATATACTGCCTGGTTGACTTACATACCCAGTCTGACAGATGAAACTGGCAAGACCACAGATATCATTAACTCTTACTTTGCTGATGGCAACAAATTTGATCCTTGTAACAAATGCAGACCAAGATCAGCCGGCATATTTACGCTTCCTGATAGTGGTGTCTTCACAATTCGCTATTCAGCCAGTACATTATTTTTGAATTTTCCCTAAAATTGGTGAATGTGTTTTGCACAGATTGAAAGATGGACAAGAACATTAAAAGACATTTATCATGGTAATGGTTAGTACTTCTCGACATGTGTTTTTATGTCGGATGGGTGGTTTCAAGTTGAATTTAAGAAAATCTTTTAAAGAAACGTGTAAAGCCAACAGTTATTTTTTTATTGGATATTAGAGACACGGCAAATATAGTAAAATATTACAGAAATGCAGAGATGATTATCTTATATAAGAACATGGCACAGTTACATACTTTGCAAACATTGATTTTACGAAATTTCCATCACTATTGATACAGTAAGTATGTAAATAATATTGTTAAATAAATGAAAATTGTTGTGTTGCCTTTAATCATCCATACCAACTTAAAATAATTCTAGGTCCCTTTAAATGCACATTATTCTCAGTAATGAACACAATATTTCTTTTCTAGAAAGGGCAAACACGTGTTTTATAATGTTATACTGTAGTGTCATAATGTTAAGAAGACGTATTTTTGTCACCTAAAGACCGTATTTCTAGATGTAAAATAATCTGCCATAAATATAGCAAAATGAAAATGAAATGTGGTGTTGGATATGCGTTGTTTGACATTGGAAACGGGCATGGTATGATTAAGGTGTGGGCCATAGCACAAGTACATGCAAAGGGTGGAATAAACTTACGCTTGTTGTCAATAGATTTAAACCACTTCATAATCAGTAAACGGTTTGATCTTTAAAACTACCTTTTTCAAACATGGATACTAGTTGATGAATAGGGGTTTATTACATTTTCAGGTATTTATAAAAGAGTTTGAAGCATAAAAGTGTTAATTGAAATAGTCAAGAGCCATAAAACAAAGTCAGGGTTATCGTGGTATAAGGGTTCTAATGGGTACATTTATCTGAAAAAGCTGTATATTTCCTGGGACAGAAGTTAACGTCTGTCTCAGATATTTCAAAGGCGAAAATATAATTGTCATAAGCGGAGTGGATGACTCATTTGGAACACTAGGGTGCCATTGACTAGGGATAAAGAGCTACACAATCTGTACACGTGACCATGATGTGAAACGCTGTATGAAATACATTTCTTTTATCAGATAATTGTGTTTTTATTTGTTTGGGTCGTCAGACCAAACAAATAATGGTAGCAAAATTTTAGACTCTAATGCTGTTAATTGCAAATGCCGAAAGTAGTCCGCGGTTACTTCCCTTTATATGTAACACTAAGGCCGAAAAATCCAGGGGAGATCACTGCGTAAATATGGTCAGATGACAGGCGCATTAATTTTCAAGCAAAATAATTCCCGAATGGTCGAAGATTTCTAATATTGTTTTATTCTTTATATATATACATGCTTATAGTGAGCGCCATGATTATTTACACAAGTGTTAAACAACAGTTATCGTCGTTACAAACCCTAATTTAGAATAATATGGTTTTCTTCAGGCCGTTAACATATAAATTCACCGTGGCCGAGGGGTTTGCGTGCTCGCTTAGGAAGCGAGAGGTCTGGAGTTCAAATCCCAGTTAAGGCAACTCATTTTTTTACAAATTGTTTAAGTCAAATAAACATTGGATTGAATATCAGTGTTGCAATTAGTCTTATAGCCAATCTACTATAATTAAAACGCTGGAAAGCAATGGTGGCACTATACAAAAACAAATTGTTATATAATCTCACAACCTTCACCTTTCTGACATTCTGAGACCCAAACAAATTCAGCACCTTCTGTGCTTTGATTCTTGAAGAGTTGGAATTATTTTAAAATAATAAATAGAGAAAATGTCCTGAAATAAGAAATAGGTGACGTTTTTAATATTGTTTTATTGAAAATAAAGAAATCCCTATTTACATTTAACTATAACTGACTAGCTTATAAACGTTTGATTGAAAGAAAATAAAACAAAATGTACATAAAAAACAACAGCAAACAATTGTTTATGGCATCACAGATTTCATTAACAATCCAACATTTTATATTATAAGCGGCATCGCTTACATATAATTAAGAATGAATTTGGTACATTGTTATTTTCATAATTATAGAATTGCTTCAAAAAGGTAAATTGAATTGAAATATTTCAATTTACACAACTTCGTAAAATATAACGTTAGTTACACAACTTAATTGATTAAAGAAAAACCTGAGTGTGATCAATTTGCACAACGAACATTAACCTAAGTAAGTTAAAAATTTACGCAATAAATGTCACGACGGGTTTTATACCGTTCCTTATTTCAGTACATTTAAATTATTAAAAAGCGCTGTTTATTATTATATAAAATTTCCATGACACAACCTGTAAATGCCGCTCATCTGCTTTAATTAGTTTTCTCTAACTAACGATGTAGCCCCTTATTTAGTCTAGTGACCAGCTTAATAAGAAAGAGATTTAAATATGGCATACAGATATTTGAGCCGCGTCACGACAAAACCAACATAGTGCGTTTGCGACCAGCATGGATCCAGACCAGCCTGCGCATCCGCGCAGTCTGATCAGGATCCATGCTGTTCGCTATCAGTTTCTCTACTTGTAATAGAGTTGGTAAGCGAACAGTATGGATCCTGATCAGACTGCGCGGATGCGCAGGCTGGTCTGGATCCATGCTGGTCGCAAATGCATAACGTTGGTTTTGTCGTGGCACGGCTCATTTCTATAACTCTACGATCTCCTGAGAATATTGTATGTAGAATTAGACAAAGAGTACATTTCAGAGCAATAAAAATAAGTAAAACAAATCAACTAAAATGCCCGTTCCTAAAATGAATTTATTTAAAAAAAAGAAAGAAAAAAAGAAAGAAGAAGAAGCTTAACGACGTGATTTAAAATTGCAAGCACGCTTTCCCTTGATCCTATAGTCTTCATACATAAGGAATTTACTTTATCAGTGTGTTTATTTGGGGGTTCAAAAGCGGTAATCAATTACATGACTTCAAAACCTCTTTTTTTTACAGAGAAAGTATTTCCCTAATAAAAAGTGTAATAAATTCTACTATAAATGTTTATGTCATAATGACGTGACGTCAAGATATCACATTACGTCAAATCACTCCGCGAAATTCTATAGCTACTTTAAAATATAAAAAATAACATTTCCAGCCTCAAGTGAAATACTTTTAAAACAGTTCTTGACTAAGAATATAACCCTGCTGAATCCGAAAGAAAGTTTTAATAATTGGCTTCCAGTCTGTTCTTCCATGCAAATTGACCAGACTTTATTCTGTTAGAAGCTTTTTTCTTCTATTTTTATTTTGGAATCACTCGGACTTTGAATACAATGTAGATCTACAAAATAGAAAGCAGGAGAAATCCGTTTCTTAAATTCAGGAGGTTAATGGCTCAGGTCCTTGTGAATGACATTCTAGTAAACTGCTTGGTGCATGGGAATAATAAATCGTTAAAATATAGCTATCTAAGCAAAATATAAAAAAAAATGATGGTCAGTTCAAAGTGAAATGCAGAAAGAAAACAAAAATCTATAAAAGATATATCACAGATAAAAACGTCATGATTAATAATTAAAACAACATAATCTTCCGAAATAAATGAATAAATAATAAAAATAACACAGTACAGACTGTAACATGTTTTAACAAAACTACGACAGACACATTGTTTTTCAGGACTGGTAAACTTGTATGTTAAACAAAGCACATGAAAAAGGTTAAGAACTGATTAATTTGACAACGTTAGAATTAGCAATGAAAGTGTTACAAAATAAATATTTTCTTTGAATGCAATACAGGTACAAAAATAAGTACATCAGTTTATTTCAATTTTTCAATGTATTAATGGAATATAATAAAGTTTTGAAAGGACAGTTAAGCCAGCAGGCAAGACTTCAGCACTTGTATGCGTGACCAGATCTTTTGTCAATGTATGTAAAGAAAACACGTACATACGTCTCAATTCTGTTTGAAAAATGTTTAACAGTCTACATATGTACAGACTCTGTATCCGTGATATTGTCGTTTGGCACTTGAATTGGAAGAGACGATTCTACCTTTTTGCTTCTCTGCGATCGTTTCACTTTGGATTTATCAGTAGAGTCAAAGAACTCGGGGTCAGCCCCCATGTTGTACTCTCGGGTCCCCGTCAATAATATTTCAACTTCTTTGTTCTTATTTCGTCTTCTTGACTTTTTCTTCTTCTTCCCTTCTGTTGTTTCGGTCGCCGAATTCTCATTGGCAAGGGAGGTAACTGATGAGCCTTTACACCGGAAGTGTCGGAAACTCTTCTGTCATTATTCCTAGTGTGGCCTTGTTTCCAAAAATAAGCCGCTCGTTTGAGTCTGCTCGTCCTGTATAATCTTCACCTTCAGTATGAAGATCTTCTTCTTCTGTTTGTGGCTCGGATTTATCGTCTGCTGGTCTGATCGTCATTTCTCGTTGCTTACGGCGGTAAATGACAAATACAACGATCAGTAAAACAATGACAATAGCTAGCAATACGCCAAGTACAACGAGAGGGATCAACAGGTCAGATCCTGTATCCTCTGTGGACCTCCCGACCGGTGGTGGCGAGATCCCAGATGTGTTTGTCATCCGTTCATACACCTTAACTGTCAAGATGCCAATTGACGAGAGATCTTTATTCGGTAGGTCTTTTTTTACCTAAAGACAAAATTTGCAAATTTATTAAGCAGGACTAGTTTTGAAAATCATTTAACATTTTAATGTAACGGGTATTCAATATAAAATCATGTTTTCTTTTGTTTTTAATTTGTTATGAAATGAAACTTATCGACATATTGAATTTTGAACTTTGAATTTTACTTTTTACCAAAACACAAACTTTACTGTGAGAAACTAATGATTAAACTTTAACATTGTTATGTATTAATATCAACAGTAAACAGTCATCAGTATATTATATATAGTGCACAAGTAAATTTTAGTTTTTATTACCTCAAGGACGAGTCTAAACTCCTTATCGGGGAGGCCTGCAGCAACCACAGATCTATCTTGATTCACAGCGCCAGTGACAGGGTTCATTGAGAATAAATGTTGGTTACCTGAAATAAACATTATTTTTTATTGTCAAGAGCACAATAATAAATCTCCTTATTGATGGTAAAATATTAGGTATGAATAAGAATAATACTTTGGAGACATTGCACTATAAAACAATGAACAGTTTATACGGAAACACATGTATTCATTAGTTTCGATAATTGTTAAAATATCCTGTATGTTGTAACTAAGGATGTTACCGCATTTTAGTGAAATTTTATATATGTATATAATTATGCATCTAAAACAATTTTCAAACATCGAAGAATTAAAAATATGTAGGTCTACTGCAAATATTTGTCAACATTATATGTAATCATTCAAATATATGCATTCATTTTTTATGAAAAAAAAAATTTGACTTAGACTTTATAGAAATTAAATTTCTAATTATCTCCCTTTATTAACATGAAAATGTAAATTCGGTAATATCTTTACAAATAATGCTTTTTTCGAAATTATAATATTGATAAATCTTCATTTCAGCATTATATTTATGATATAAAAAAATAAAAAATTTAGTTACAGGATCTTTACGTCCATACCGAGGGTACCAGGAATATGTAGATGAGGATTCGATTAAGAAATGACTCCGGTGTAAAGCTTCTTCTGCAGCATGATAAGTGACCATTACAACAGTATTTTTAAATCTTCGCTTTCAACATTACAGAATTAGGGCCAGTATCAATAGGAATGTAATTCGTTATATCTATATTATCACAATACATTTTTGTTCTATGAGCCTTTACCAGTGAGCTCGAAAATGTTACCTCGAATTCATGAGCTTAGACAGGAGTGCTCGAAACCGTGAGCTGGAACAAGAGAACGCCTAGAAGACATTAACTGATGACTGCCGTACAAAAAAAAACGGCGATACTTATATGAAAAAAAAGAAAGAAAATAGTTATAGTAGTTCACTATTTGAATCGGAGAGTTGCATAGTCAAACTTGTTTCTTTCCATTGTCTTGTTTGGTGAACCAAATCATGTTATAACGATTACTTACCAGATCTTATTGAATACTTCAGTGGTGTACCAAGAGTGTCAGAGTCATTCCCGTGTATGGCTGGTTTTATCGACAAAGGACCCTAATAATGATAAAAAGGAAACAATAATAATGTTGTTGTCAAGACACCAAGCTTTCATTACTTGCTCAGCTCGTCCCATGATATGACGTTGTGTCAATTAAAATTTGAAATTCTGTTCTCGGATTTTATACATTTTATACATTTTTTATACATTTTTGTATTGCCACCTCATGGTCGTCGTCAATAACAACATCATCATCATCATTTTGTTCATCATCATCATTATTGTCGTCGTCATCAATACTTCATCTTCTTAATGTTCGCATGAATTTATTAGAAAAAAGTAAGATATCAAATACCTGAAAATTTAGATCTCCACAAAGTCATGATGTATTTCGTACAAGTTATTAAATTATTTGCGGTCTAAAGAAACAACAACGGGGATAAACTATAAAGGTGATATATAATTGCGGACCCTTTTCTACAATTCCAATGCAAGACAGAATGTATAAGTGAAAGTTATTCCTAGTATGTTCACGTGCTATCCTAACAAATATACGTACTTGGGAATTCAGTCGTATAATAGATAAAAAATGGTGTGGCGCTGGACAAGGCGGGGGACAATCAGGTATTCAAAAGTATGGAGGCTGATCATCGACATTTCTGCTACGTGTATTTCCAAAGTGGTATGAGTTGTCTTAGCTGTAGGACTCGATGGAGGCTCATCCTGTTGAAAAGATATTAATTGATTTATAACATACCATATATGACCTATAATTCTTTCCTTACCTACTTTTTATCTGATATAATATTTATGAGAAGACTTACAAACAATAGAAAAGGGCGGTTGAATTTATGCAGATATATTGAAGAGGTATTTGAAAATAAATACCTTTAGTCAGAAATAAGTCGAAGAGAACATACAAAGGGTTTGTCAAAGCTGGACTTAACCGTATAATTATGACAATATTCCATACGACGATATCAAAACTTTACTGCGTTAAAATCTACGGTGGCATAGAGGTGACATTTGCAGTATTTTTTTTATCTTGTGCCCTCGACTTATTATCTTGAGGCTTCAAGATATTATATTGTGGCTACAACTTATTATTTATGTGAAAATAATCGTTTCATCTTAAAGGGAAATTTAATATTTTTCTGGCTATGGGCTTTGTCCCAAAACGCTGGGGCAGTAATGCTTGGGCCACAAAAGGGCAGGGAAAAAATATTGGCTTATTTTAATTTCCTAATACCCCACCTTTCCCCTTTGTCAATTTGAATATTTAGGGGAATTGCACCCTTGAAAAATTTTTTATTAAAAATATTTTAAAGTTTTGCACTGAAATCCCTGTTTAAAAGGTATATGTCGATATTTTTTTTTGATTTTTTAAAAAGAAACGCCCTGTTACCTTTCTAAACCCTAGAAAAAGAGAAAAAAAGGGTTGAAATTGATTTAAACCATGTGACACTAAAAACCCTAAAGTACATTAAATCAAAAACCCTGTTCGTCTTTCTTTTAACAAAGTTAATATTTTTGTCAAAAAATGTTGTTCTTTAATGGAAATCTAAATTCTTTTTTTTTCTTAATAAAGACTGTTATCTGCCATATATTTCCTTTATTTCTTTGACCTGTTTATGAGATGAATAATGTATTAATAATTTAGAATGATTATTTTTATATCTTTTAACATTTCTTTAAAATATGTAACTTTGTTTATGTCGATGTCTCCACTGAAAATGAAACGACCATTTGCATTAGCTAAACTAAGTGGCCTTAAGAAATTAAGTGATGTACGTATGTATGTATATAAATATATTATCTTACAACTTACGGTTACACTCAGATTGAGAAAAAGTTTGCTTCTCGCCATGGTATCAAAATCCAGCTGCTGGACTAGAGTTATGTCTCCTTTAGATGATGCTGGTATATTGAAATAGGCTGCACCGTCATACTGAATTAATAAGTCATGAAAAAATGTTTAAGTGGTATTTAATATGTCAGGTACTAGTAATTAAGATTCATTTCCTAAGGTATACAGCATTCAAACACGATTATGTTGTAGTAACTATTGCATAATGTAACATCTTCAAAAGATAAGGTTCTAGACAAGTATTCCTTTCTAACCTTTTCCAACTGAAATGCACCTTGATTGTTGAAGATCTATATCGTTATTAAATGCATTTGAATTATTCATACGACAAATCAATACAATAGGGCACATGTTGCAGTTAGGATAAGAATATACGTCCTGGGGGTATTCGCCTATCGGGCGGAAACGAGTCTTGAACTCTGAACTGCAAATGCATGTCAGATTTTTTTTGGGTGCAAATTTTACCATATTCTGCCATTAAATGTTTTATGTCAATAACTTTTTCATGGAAATTTATAATGTTATTTTATCCGGTAACTGATTTTCAAACAGTAGCGATTGAATTTACAACTTCATTCATAACGTCGAATCGACGTCATCTTAAATAAATACGCCAATTTATCATGCAACTGCTATGGTTACCGCCCGATAACACTTGCCTGATAATTATTTTTGTTATCAGGTCAGTAACCTGATATCAAACGGATTTTTTTTCAATTGCTTATATTCTCATTTTTATCAGCATGCGAATTCTCAATTTTATCTCATATCCTTAAAAAGTCTTGAAGCAAGATGCGATATTTATTTATTAATTACTTCTGTTTCGATTACAATTACGAATAAATCAATTACGAATAAATTGAAAGCAAATAGTGAAGCACCAACCAAATGAAGTGACGTCATTATATTGCAAATGACATCATCGATGTCCACGTCATATTATACAGGTAAACATAACAAACAAGCTAGACGATTTTCTTTGAGAGCTTGTAAATGTTTACTTTATTTGCCCGGATTATTATTTAATTAATGAACAAATTGTTGTGTTAAAAAAATAAGACGCATGTTTGTGTAGCTTGTGTTTAATTGCCGATTTGAGTTTCCTTTGATTGAAATTATCGTGAACTTTTGAATTTGACAATTCAAGGAAAAAAGTGCAGTGAAGTATGTGATTCATACCCCGGTCACATATTCACGGAATACGTACTGGTCAGTAGCTCTCCATGACAAATTATGTTACAATTGCAGACCAAAAATGATAATACTATGATATAACAATTCGTAGAAATTGCCTAACTTAAAGAGTGCAATTAACTTGTTTTAATGGAATATGTTTGCATTTCCATTTCCTGCAAAAATTCTCCAGTTGCGTTATTTTACTATAGCTTGACACGCAATGACCGTTTGGGTAAACTAAAACTACTTCTATAAATAGATTTTCGGACTTTCACAATGTTAAGGTCATCAAGGTCATCATTCTATTTATAGGTAAAGCAATAACACACATAATAACCAACTGTGTATTACAAAATGATTAACAAGAAAAGCATTGATGCAAAGCATCAAAGGGCGCCCAAGCAAGAAATGCAGCAAGTGAAGATGAACTAGTTGACATCTGATTACCAGATATTCTTATAAACTTTTCAATGGTTAATTGGTTTTTACCAGAATTGTATAATATGTTTATGAATGGCCGGACGAAAGACATAATATGTTTGCATTTCATTCCGTGCAAAATTCTCAAGTTCGTTATTTATTACCATAGCCTGACACGTTAAACTAATACTACTTCTATAAATAGATTTTCGGATCAATTCACAATGTTAAAGTCATCATTCTATTTTAGGTACAGCAATACATAAATAACACTGTGTAACTAACTAAAAAAAACCGACGATTAATTGACGGTAAGATAATTTCATTTGAATATGTTTGCATTGCGAAATTATCCAGTTCGCTCTCCATTGTATATATCGCGACATTTCATTTTTGATAATCAAACCTCACACCCTCATACCAATCGGAATGTTCGGCTATTATGCCCGACGAAAAGGCCCGAGAAGCTGCAATTGTCTTTTCACAAAATCTAGGGACGTCGCGCTTCGGCGCGGACGCCAATCACAGGAAATTATCTCGAGTTGAAAGAAAAAATGGCCGCCATTTACAAATGCTAAGTTTCAGGGGCGGAGGAATTTGTTTTCAAGAATAATTTCTTTAAACATAAATGCCCCTCGCTATTCAAAGGTAGTTATTTTGTAAATTTGACGTTTTTATGTGTCGCATGATAAATAGAAAAACATGCTACTTTCTTTTGATATCAATTTTATCAGACTCGGCTGATATGGGCAGAAAATGTCCGGCAAGCCTCACCCCTTTCTGGCCCATATCAGCCTCGCCTGATAAAATTGATATCAAAAGACAGTAGCATGTTTTTTTGTTATTCTCTTAATGTCAATTTGGTTCGCGCGACTCATTTGGTATGTTTCAAACATGAGTAAAACAAACAGAATCACCATTTTGATATGTCAGAAAAATAATAACGAAACAATAGCACTGTGCTTAAAGTATGGGTGCTATTTAATTTTACCCATGGAATATGATGCTTTATTTAATTTTTACCCATGAAATATGGTACAATATCAGTCAAATATATTTTATATTTTTTAAAAATAAATATGAAATTAAAATATGAAAGTGGGCAGAGTCAAAACTCATATTTATTTCAAGGGACTTCAATCGCCATTTTGTTTGAAAATTCTGATAAATACAAAACAACTTTTGTTGAATTTTGTTTTGAAAACCATCTAGAATGGTAGCAAATGCTTTAACAAAGAAAATAAATCCGAACACCAATATCTTTAATTCAGTCATTAACGCTGTACAGACGTTTAAAGAGTTGTTAACGTGACGTCACAATGTAGCGCTAAATATCCCGTGCAAAACAAGACACAATAATTATTTTACTGCGCGCTGTACAATTGCAGTTGCATAGCAAGCTAGGGTGTTCGTTAACATTTTTCTTTGATAATGAAATTAAAGAAAAAAGGTTATTTTTTCGTTTTACGTGAAATATGGTATATATTTTCACTCAACATGATAAAATGCCACATATTGTCACTCGCCGTCCCGGCTCGTGAAAATATGTGGCATTTATCATATTTCGTGAAAATATATTCCATATTTCACTCAAACGAAAAAATATCCTTTTAATATCAGTCAAATATATTTCATATTTGCGAAAGATAAATATGAAATATAAATATGAAAGTGGTCGGAGTCAAAACTTATATTTATTTTAAGGGACTTTTTTCGTCATTTTGTTTAAAAAATCTGATAAATGAATAACAACTTTTTTGTTGAATTTCGTTTTGAAAACTATCTAAAATGACAAAAATTGGTCTAACTGTGAAAATAAATCCGAACACCAATATCTTAAATTCAGCCATTAACGCTGTACAGACGTTTAAAAAGTTGTTTACGTGACGTCACAATGCAGCATCTAACATCGAGTGCAAACAAGACACATTAAATATATAAATTAAATAAATTTCTTGATAATGAAATTAAATAAAATAGGTTATTTTTTTCGTTTTTCGTGAAATATGGTATAAATTTTCACTCAATATGATAAAATGTCACATGTTTTCACTCGCCGTCCCGAGTTTCGTGAAAATATATTCCATATTTCACTCAAACGAAAAAATATCTTCTTAAAAGTCTTTTAAAATAATTACGTACTAAGAAAAATGTCTTATATTTCATGACTTTACAATTTGACAATTTAATTTAAAGATCACTTACGTCAATTATACTGTATTTTTCAATGGCAAAGAAAAAGTTTTGAGCACCTACAACGTCGTCGTCAGTAACCCTTGACCTCAGGGCAAATACCAAAGAACCAATTTCTAGAGACTAAACAAAATATATTCAAATTTATACATTTACAAACATAAACCAACTTTAAAAAGTTCACTTGTCCAAAACCTAATGGTTAAATAAATAAATAGATAATAAATAAATAAATGAATGAATGAATAAATAAATAAATGAATAAATAAATAAATTTTAAACAAGAAGCGCCGCAATGCGACGAAAACCAGGTTTTCAACGACCAAGTTTTGATGTGACAGCAATTAATAGGTCAAAGTGCACTGAAGTTATTGAGTAGAAGCTGAAAATTCTATTGTAAGCAAATGACCTTGAACTTGCTCCCAGATATCTAGGTGGCAATCCAAAGCTGCCACTCAGCAAGTTTGGTGTCAAAAGGTCAAAGCAAACTCAAGTTATAACATGAAAACTAAATACATTAACCTTGATCACAGACACCTGGGTAGCAATCCCAAGCTGCCTCTTGATATAAGCTATCCATACACCAAGTTTGGTGTCAATAGGCCAAAGCAAACTCAAGTTATTGAGCAGAAACTGAATTTCTATTTTTAGTAACAGTGACCTTGACCTTGACAAAAGACACCTGGGTAGCAATCCCAAGCTGCCTCTTGATATAAGCTATCCATATACCAAGTTAGGTGTCAATAAGCCAAAGCAAACTCAAGTTATTGAGCGGAAACTGCAATTTCTATTTTTAGTAACAGTGACATTGACCACAGACACCTGAGTAGCAATCCCAAGCTGCCTCTTGATATAAGCTACCTACACACCAAGTTTGGTGTCAATAGGCCAAAGCAAACTAATGTTATTGAGCGGAAACCAAAAGTTGACGCCCGCCTGTCCGCGAAATAAATGAATAAATAATTAACAAGAGCACTGCTAGGCGGAGCATTATATGCCCGAAAGTGTTTTCTTTTTAGTAAGGATGAAGCATTTGTAAGGCATGGGAATTAAATTAAGTATTACCTCCTTCAAAAACCAATCCTCCTTTATAGCTGAAGAACCTTCATACATAAATACAGTTGCTGTTTTCAAAGCACCACCATCAAGTTGTTATCTTGTAAGTAAAAATGCTACGATGGATGGACGGAAAGTGGCCAGGGGTATAACGTAATATAAACACATTTTTAAGGGAATATAGGGAATATAGTTAATGTACTCAACCTATGAAGTTTGACAGTTGTAAAATTGTAAACAATATTAAGGTCATTTGATACTGACCTTTGACCTCATGACCCCAATATAGATATCGATCTTTTATACAATATAGGCAATCATCATATGAAGTTTGAACACTGTAAGCCAAATGGAACTTGTGTTGTGCTCAAGAAAGCACCATTTTCAGTGATATGGTCATTGTTCCCCTGATCTTTGATCTTATAACCCTTAAATCAATTGGGGTCATGTATTGGACATGACTGTTCATCCAAAACAAATTAACAGCTGATGGTTGATTAATACTCAAGTTAGTGAGCGAAAACCGTTTTCAGTTTTAAAGTAATAGTGACCTTAACCTTTGACCTTGTGACCCAAAATTACTAGGGGTCTTCTACTCAATATTAACAATCATCCTATGAATTTGAACACTGTGGGTCAAACGGAACATACGTTATGCTCCAGAAACCACACTTTTCAGTGTTAAGATCATTGTGACCCTGACCTTTGACCCTAAAATCAATAGGGGTCATGTATTGGACATGGCTCTTCATCCTATAAATTTTACAGCTATAGGTTGATTAATACTTAAGCTATTGAGCGGAAACTGTTTTCAGTTTTATGTTAATAGTGACCTTGACTTTGACCTTGTCACCCCAAAATCAATAGGGGTCTTTTACCAAATATTGACAATCATCCTATGAAGTTTGAACAATGTGGGCCAAATGGAACTTAAGTTATGCTCCAGGAACCACAATTTTCAGTTTAGAGATCATTCTGACCCTAACCTTTGACCCTTAAATATCTGTAAGCAATAACCTCTACATAGCGAAATAAGTTATTCTTCATTTTATAGATTTCATAAATAATCTGAGTTCGTGAAGCTGCATATCTCGGCATAAACTTAAAGCTTTGTCTTTCAAATGGTGCTATTTTGAAGAGTTAAAGATGATAAAACAGTTGGAATCTTACCTCATTCAGTGTCACATTGTATGGGACGTTATTAAAAACTGGAACGAATTCATTCACTTCGGCTACGTTTATAAACACGTCTTTCTGAAGTAAAACGAAACAAAATAACGAGTTCTTTTCAGAAGAGAAACGTTTGTCTAGTCAATAAATATGTTTTGACTTGCAATAAGAAACTTGTTTCTAAATTACAAAACCTATCTATCATTTCAAATACAGGATACACGCTGTTTTCTTAAGTTTCTTTTTTTTTCAGAAGTTAACCTTATCACAAATCACCGGCAATCCATAGACCCGTAGTTTAAGTCCAGCCTTCGGCGTGCCGATTTTTCGTGTGATTTAGAAACGTTTTCATTCCTTATCGTTTTCAATTTTTGAGACCAAAAACGTCCATATTAAATACATATTGTACTCTATCCAGCCTTGAAAATATGGCATATTCTCCACATGTCATTCCCCATCGATATAATACTCATATAGGCCTATCATTCAACTAACTACACAGAGCACCTAAGTCCTTAACAAGCCTAGAACAAATTAATACGTCACACTTATGTGTGACGTCTTATGGGTAGTTGTTGATCAAGTGTAGTCCTATGATTCTTGTTTTTACTTCTGGATAATGTTTTTCTTTTTATTGTTGAATCCATGCAATTCCTTACATCTTTTCTGTTATTTCTTTCAATGAAAAAAGGTACTTTAAATTCATAAAAAAGGCCATTTTTTAATAAAAAATGCACAGGTTAAGAGAAAAAGTGGGAAAAAACAATCCACTCTAAATTTGTTCTTGAAATTTTGCATATTGACAAAAACTTAAGAAAGCTTTATGAAAATAAGAAGAAAAAAGTATTGTTTCGCTTCATTGTAAATTATCTGCCCTTGAATTTAACAAAAAAGTCCAATTCAAGAGAAGATAACTCGAAAATGAGAACGGTGACCCCACATTTTTTTACGTTTAAAATGTTTCTGTTATTATAATCTAATAACATGCCAATTTTAAAGAAATTCTATTGAACTGTTTTAATTTTGCCTATATGTCTATATGTAAACTTCGGGAAACGTCTTTCATACTTAACATATGCCATACTAGTATGTAATGAGTAAAACTTTAAAACTAAACTTTAGAACAACAGAAAATGATGTATGTATGGGCTTATTTTTACAAAACACAGTAACCTACATGACATAATTTGAAACTGAACATGCTACAACCTATTACACTTGAATCTTATAGAGGTAATTACTTTCATGTTATAGCGCTGAATAAAATGCCCTTAATCATGAAATATAACATCGTCAGTGAAATTATCTAGCGTTCTAGCATGACCATAATGAGCAAAAAGAACCTCAGAGTCCTTCCAACGACCAACTTTTCAATAGTAGAAGCAGCACCAGTGGGGCGAAAAGACTTTGCTGAAAAACCTTGACCACAAAGACCAGCTAACGTTATGGCTTCTTTTAGTACCTTAGCTATGGAACTAGCCACTAGATGAAAGCCTTAAAAGGGGGTCTTAATGTAAGGAAAATGGCATTGTCAGAAGATCTATAACTTTTTGTTCTGTCAATGTATTTCTGCAGGGTTTCTTAACAATACTGGCATGAGGCAATACAATCTTAAAACTTGTCCGTTTAGTATCATTCTTGATACCAAAAAAATAAATGTTGGCATCTTCAACGGAAAATACTTGGTCAACAGCAAAAACCATCATCTTAACAATCTGTGTCAACAGTCTGAGCATAAGGAGCTATATCAGATGGCTGTCAAGGCAAGCAGAGTAATGGCTTTCGTTCAGCACGACATAATTGTTGTGTATACATGTTATTTGGTATTTTTAGTTTCTTCTATTTGGACTTTTTCAACTTGGGTGGTTCCAGTATTCCTACTTATATACTGTCTAATCACCCTTAGGATATGTTGCCTGCTTTTTAAATTGTCTTTTGACGTCTTATCTGTGATATGCAGGCTTCATAACCTCAGATCCCTTTTCGAAATTCCATTTTATTTAGTTCCGCCCATTGTTGTAGCAGTACGTAATACTAAAATAGAAAGCCCCAACACGACAAAATTGAAAATGTTGCAGGCTCGGTTTGATTGAGCCTGTTCATGGACGGTACTGGAAAGTGCAAGTTACCGTCCACGCCCCCTAGCACCGGCTTAAGCAGAATTCAACATTTAAACATGAAATAGTAAAATTTTAAATTTAGAAATATCTGCAGATGTGTTCATAAGGCGGTTATCATGGAACCTTCAATGTGACACATAAGTGCCATTCCATGAAAAGCGACCGAACTAGAAAATGCCAAAAAGTTGAAACTAAAAATACCACAAGCACAACAATAATGTCGTTCTGAACGATCTTCAAGGATCGAAAATATAACATTATTGATTAAATGTACGGCGAGACTTTTTTCAGCCGCCACACGGCACACACAAATAACACGGATGTGACCAAAAAAATAGATAAATACAGAATCCCTAAAGAAAGCCCAACACGACAAAATTGAAAATGTTGCAGGCTCGTTTTGATTGAGCCTGTTCATAGACGGTACTGTCAAGTGCAAACTACCGTCCACGCCCCCTAGCACCGGCTTAAGCAGAATTCAACATTTAACATGAACTAGTAAAATTTAGAATTTTGAAACATCCGCACATGTGTTCATATGGCGGTTATCATGGAACCTTCAATGTGACACGTTAGTGCCATTCCATGAAAAGCGGCATATTGTCCCCAAGTAAAAAAAATGCGTGTGTCCTAAACGAGAAAACAATGGGCGAAACTAAATAACATGGAATTTTGAAAGGGGATCTGAGGTTATGGAGCCTGCATATCACAGATATAACCAAGTCTGACCTCACCATTTTGGAGCCATCACAGTTGCATATGCTTTTTTGTGTTTGGATAACATCTAACACTTTGTGAAGTAAGCAAAATGAACAAAAAATAGATAAAAAAAGAATCCCTAAAGAAAGCCCAACACGACAAAATTGAAAATGTTGCAGGCTCGGTTTGATTGAGCCTGTTCATGGACGGTAATGGAAAGTGCAAGTTACCGTCCACGCCCCCTAGCACCGGCTTAAGCAGAATTCAACATTTAAACATGAAATAGTAAAATTTTGAATTTAGAAACATCCGCAGATGTGTTCATACGGCGGTTATCATGGAACCTTCAATGTGACACTTCCGTGCCATTCCATGAAAAGCGGCGTATGGTCCCCAAGTAATAAAAAGCGTGTGCCCTAAACGAGAAAACAATGGGCGGAACTAAACAAAATTGAATTTTGAAAGGGGATCAGAGGTTATGAAGCCTTCGTATCACAGATAAGACGTCAAAAAAACAAATTTAAAAAGCAGGCAACATATCCTAAGGGTGATTCAACATTATTCAAGTAGGAATATTGGAACCACCCAACTAGAAAATGCCGAAAAGTTGAAACTAAAAATACCGCAAGCACAAGTCGAGAACAAATTAATACGTCACACGAAAGACGCCATAGGTATAGTTGTTGATCACGTGACTACTAATCAACAAACCAAAAAAAACAAGTTCAATATCAAATCAATATTTTACACGAAGAATATTATACTTAAACACATTGAGTGTTTTTGGCAATTTAATGATTCCTCCGTAAGAGATAGTGATGTGTAATAAAGAGTAATATACATGTATACATTGTTGAGAAACATATCGATTCTATTGGTGACGTAAACAGCTTCAAAACATATATTGAACAAAAACGCTAAGTTAAAAACTGTGTACCCGTCCATAAGAATGCAGTATTGTACTCAACAATGTATAAGGCCGTTATTCCATTTATACGTGATCAGTGGTCCGCGTCCGTCATCCGCATCCGCTACCGATTCGCTAATCAAAGAATACGTTGAGTCTATTCCTTTTGTCCGTTTACAATCCGCTTCCGCGACGGCATCCGCGACGTTTCGCAGGATGTGCGATTTTTTACGGACGCGGACAGTCACTGGCATGTCTCATCCCTACAAATGCCTCGAACGAAATTAAATATTTTATCGATTTCGAAAGAAAATACCAAAGAGTTCACCAAAATAGTGTGGGAGAACCTATAAGTTTATGATGCAGCAATGACAAGTTAAAAAAACAACATCTGGTCTTCGGTTGCTAAAGAGATGTTATTTGAAAACCTAACTGATATTCAATGTTTGTTACCTAATTCTTTGATGTTACAACTGTTTTTGGTATTAGAATGAAATTATATCATATTCTACAAATAATTATCCTCTGTTCGCTATACTTCAATTAAAAATATATAGAAAATAACGTACCTATGGAATAATACCCACGGACATGCCCGGACACGGATCACTGACGCGGGTCACGGATCACGTACTAATGGAATAGCGGCCTAATAATATTGACAGAATCCGTGATTAATGTAAAAAAGATTACTTACAGTACTCCCGCCACAAGTAACCGACAGCGCTATAGCTCTAATATCCGCGCCGTACTGAAATATAAAGAAAAGATTTTCATTAGATATGCGGTAAAATTTCATTGCAATGAATAACATAATGTAGATGTTTCGTATTTTATAAATTATCTCTTTCATTTTGGACTATACATCAATAATGTCTTTTTAGCATTAAATAATTCCTAACTGACTGAATACATTTAAAGAAAGGTATAAACAGAAATAAAAAACAAAATACATGTTTAATCTATATTCTTGCTGACAGTATCAGCAACAAAAGTATCAGTACTATTTCGAATATTGCTTTGAAAAACTGTAATAATGTAATATGTGAAATATCTTACCGAGATCATGAACTCTTCCAGATCTAAGACTTTTGAATTTATCATTTGAAAGGTTGTGTTACCATTAATTAACGTTAGGCTGCCCATTATTGCGGCGACGGCAGCACTTTGTGTTGGACTATCAATAGTAAACGACACAGGTGTTCCCGGAGGTTTTGTAGTATTGAAAATAACAGTTTCTAAAAATAAAAGAAAAAATGTATAAGGTTTTGTTTTACCAATTGCATCATCGGGGTCTTACATGCTTAAACGGTTAAGGTTGTTGTCTTGCTTGTTCTAATCACTGACGGGCGCCCACTTGTTCATGTTTTGAAAGTCTTGCTATCCAGCTTACATATTGTTATTATTTATGGCAAATTGTATTACATGTACGGTCTTGTTTGCGGCTTTCTCCAGCAAGTGGTCATATAAAGTTATACACATTCGGCATAAAGTGAAACACGGCACAAAATCATTCTTATATGAGCAACACTTGGGTTTGTAGCTTCCTTTCTGGCGAAGGATATGCAGATATGGGTGAATTTAGGTTAAATTGCTGCAAAAAGATTAGATTATGTTGCCAATTTTACCATGTAAGAACATAGTTTTATTTTTATGTTAAAATCTAATTTTGATGGTGATGTGTTATTTGAAGAACCCTTGCAAATTGTCACTTGCTTTTTGATGTACATATCACTGAGTGGATACTGAGAACGTAAACTAGATACACGCATCCGAAAGAACATACCATTTGGTGCTGTTTCTGAGATTGTATATGGAGTAGTCTTTAGGTCGCACACGCCATACGCTGAAAAATATAATATAACTACCTTTTTATCATTACATGCAATACGGGAATTGTCAATGAAAATCTAGAATACCAATCATATCTATTACTAAATGTTCATCACTCATTGTATATAATACTTAGTGAATCTCTGACAGTATATCACTCATTGAAGTCATTGTATATATTTCACTTGTCATAATCATAATGTATTCTACTTTGTGTATCAATCACTGTATAACATTAATTTTCTATTACAATTTTTATCATATCACTTACTTTATAACACTCATTACATATAACATGCTGTTTTATATCACTCACTGTATAACATCCATACCATAAAACATGTTGTATTATCTCACTCATTATATCACTTACTGTATAACATTCATTTCATATAACATGTTGTATTTTATATCATTCACTGTATAACACTCATTACATATAACATGATGTACATGTATTATATCACTCACTGTATATTAACATTCATTACATATAACATGTATTATATCACTCACTGTATATCAATTATTACATATAACATGTTGTTTTATATCACTCATTAAAATTTTCAAAGAAATTTGCGGAAGCTCTTTGTTTCTATCATAATAATCACATAATGTTAGTTATAGACTTGTGGTAACCGTTTCGAGTTCTGATCATTTGTTCACCACGTGTTCGCCGTTTTTATCATTCGATGTCGCTGTTTTCGCTTTAGTTTATTTGTATATTATACAATAATTGACTAGTGAGCCATTGAATATGATGTGATATTCACCGGCAGATGACATATTGACCGAGGCTGTTTTTTATAAGAAAAGCGTTTATAAACGGCCCTTTACAGATATCGCATCGGATGTTTGTGTATATCCCCCCCCCCAAATGTGCACATCCAATTTGTCATAATCTAGTAGACGAATGCCAGATATAAACCAGATCATAAAATATGTTTTACTTTAATGTCACTTTTATACACTTTCTTTTGTATATTTTGCAACAATTGATTACATACCCAAAGTGCAAATCCTGCAACAAAAATACGCGCCCAGCTGTTCTACATGAAACCAACTGTTCTACTCGTAATGGATGTGGCATTTAAAAACTGTACACAATTTATTTTTCTCATAACACTTCTCTTGTATTCATGAGCATAACATATAATAACAGTATAATAAAAAGTTTCTCTTGTATTTATTAGCATAACACTATAATCACACAATTGTGTTGATTCAACCAAATATGC